CCGGCCCTCTGAACTGCCTGTGGTTTCTTGTAGTGGTGGCTGTTTTCTTGGGTAGTTGGCCAGTATCATCCTGCCTGCCTTTCCTCCTCCTCCCAGCTGGGCCTGTCGCAGCTCAGCCAGGCACCAGGAAGAGATGCCAGTCAGAAGGAAATGACATGCCCACTGGCCTAGTCCCTTATTTTCTCTGCCACCCTCCCAACACACATTCACACACAGCCCAAACGGTGATGCATTAAGGCAAGGAGATGGAAAGGCCCCAGAGATAGGCTGGCCTCACTTCAGGAGCTGCGGGGGAGAGCAGACCATTGCCTGGTGTGGCTCTTATGTGAAACTCAATCCAGAGCACACCTCAGCTGACAGTCCCTGGTGCACTCCAAATTGATGACTAGAAAAGCCACGCCACATTTGCAGCAGACTTGGTATATGTCTTACTGTGTTCTCTTGCCTGCTGTCTGATGTGCCCATCTAAGAAGTCGTGGACTTCAGTTCTGTCTCGGTAGCAGGTGTCATCAAGCCTATTTGGAATCTGGGGCGGATGTTTGCTTCTAGCCCCTGGGATTCACAGGCCTGGACCAGGCAGTGTGACAGGAGAAGCCAGCCAACCAAGAGTGTGCATCTCCCTTCCTGCTGGGATAACTTCATTCTTGTTGGTTGGCATCTGCCAAAGTTATTTTACTCTTTCTCCCCAGGGGCACTATGGTTTAGAAAAACTGTATTGCAAAGCAAATTGCACTGACATTGATAAAGTTTTATTAAGAGTCTGCTCTGTGCCAGGCACTGTTCTGAGCACCGCCCTCGTGGAGCTTGAAGTTTAGAATGGAGGTGGATTAACAATCAGAATAACTAAGTGAAGTATCAGGTTGAACCACATGAAATGACCATTTTTGTAGGTAAAAAATGGACAAATATTGACAGTTTCGTATGACTCAAAGTAATCTATTCTGTTTGTCAGTAATAAATGCTAAGGAGAAATAATAAAGCAAGGAAGGGGGGGATAGCAGGTTAAGGGAGAGGTAGGTGTTTGGAATTGTAAATAGATGGGACCAGAAGACCAAGGAGGTGGCACTTGAAGGTGGCTGGAAAGCTGTCTGCAAGAAGGGCAGTGCAGGTGAGAGGAGCGTAACAAGAGCAGAGGCCCGAGCACGGCTGGTGTGTGGCCGGAGCAGAGGGCAAAGGGCAAGAGAGGCAGGCGCGGGGAGCTGGGGCACGGAGGACCTCGAGGGCCAGGGAGGGAAAACTGGATTTTACTCTGAGAGCTGGGAAACCTTTCTGGCCTTCTCGATAATCTTACTTGGAAGCAGAAAGAACCTGTTGAGATGACGGCTGTGACTAAGGAGTGCTCGTTAGGGCCCAGGAGCCGGCGCCCAGGCCGCTCGGAAGCTGCGCCGGCCCGGGAGGCGAGGCGAGGTGAGGTGAGGGCCGCGTGTGGCCACCTGAATCGTGAACATTTCTGGAACTCCTCTGGTAGAAGAGCCTTTTTTAAATACCTAGAAAGATGACAAATGCTTGTTCTGTCCTTGCTCACCTGAAGGCCGGCTGTTTTCTCTCTCCGACTGTCTTGTGTTTTCACGGCATTAACCAAGCTAGGGGCAGCTCTGGTGAGTGCTGGGAGGAGAGGCCCACCAGCCAGGCTGCCCAGGTTGGGAGCCTGTCGTTTGGGCGCACATCACATGCACCGGGGCTCGCAGCCTAACAGAGCCACTTTCTGTCACCCTTCCGGGGGACTGCCCTGTGGGCTTATAGTCAAGCTGAGGATTTTGACAGACTCTTAAGCATGGCGCCCTTTTATGATGTCTCCCTGCTGTCCTTATTCACAGATCGATTGGCCAGTAGCAGCCACAAGATTTTAAGAAGGCCTGAAGCACCTCAGGAACCTTATCTGAGCTACCAGCAAAGAGGACAGCTAAGGAGAAGTACAGGGGTGAATGTTCCTGAGTGTTCTGAAAAAAGGGGTCTGATGATATTAAAATAATAGTTATTTTAAAACTGCTGGCTTCCCAGAAGGATCTGAGACAGCCACATTATTTTGTGCATCCTACAAGCCAGAGCCCAGCACAGGGTGGCAGAGCTGCTACGTGACAGCAGACTCTGTGCTTTCGGTCTTCTGTCCCTAGCCCCTAGCCAGTGCAGGAAAGGGCGTGGAGAAAAGGGAACCCTGCTGTGATGATGGTGGGAATGTAAATTGCTAACAGCCACTCTAGAGAAGGGTGGTTAAGAAAAGTATTTTGCCATAAAGAGAAACCCTTACAATTCAAGGGTTATAATGCATATTAAAATGCATTAAATTTTACTAGTTGGACTTGTTTAAGCCACATAATACAAACGATGTGTGCAATTAATATTCAAATATAAACACTCTGGCCTTTTAAAAGGGAGAGCCGTTAATACTGCCTTGCCTACAGGCTGCGTGCTCGAAGTGCCTCTGAATCCTTACACAGGTCCCAGCGATGGTGCCTCTGGTTTCCAGCGCAGTAACTTAGGACCTGAGGGAGGAAGCTCCCAAGGTTCCATGTGCCTTGGGTGAGCTTTCCTAGGGAACAAGGTGGGAATTAATCGGGATTTATCACAGGCTTAGAAATACAAAAGAATTAGCTCAGTCATCGTAGATCTCCCCAGCTGAGTTACATTTGTTCCGATGGAGAATAGTTTATTCTTTCAAGGGTACTCATTGTAGCCTCCTCTCCCCCAGTTATGACACCTTTCAAAATATCCACCCCCTCACCCCCCCCCAATAGGCCGGCCTGTCTATTCATAACTGGTAAACTTTACACTGCTTCTGCTTCTGCATGGAAGGGGCCTGCCAAGGGCTTTAACCTGTTACCTAGCGCTAGTCTGTGTTCCAAGTTGTTGTTAGGGACACAGCAAGTACTCTTTACAGACTGTGTAACACTCACACCCACCTTATGAGTTAAGGATGAGCTCATTTTACAGGTGAGTAATCATACTTCGGTTCAAAGACTTCTCTAAGGTCACCCAGCTCGTAGATGGCAGAGCTTGGATTCAGACCTCTATCTTACTCCAAACCTAGAGACCTTAACTACTAAGTGACCGACCACCTGCTGAGTTGTTGCTGTGGTCCACCATCTTGCTGGTTTGTGTCCTAGCCTCACACAGGGACTACAGGGGCCTTTCTGCTATGTGACTTCTAGCCAGACATCCAGACCAGGACAGCTGGTCCGGGACTGTGCCTATGCCAGCGCGCCAGCACATTCTCCACAGGCGGCCTGATCCTCGGCAGGATTTGCTCCATGCGCCCGGTCATTTCTAACAGCATCTCTCCAGGTGTCTGGGCCGCTGCTCCCTTCACTTACGCCTCCCAACACTGGATCGCATTTCCCTAGCTACGGATCACCGCCACCTGGCTCCCAGCACCCCGACCTACGGAGAAATAAGGGCTGCACAGTTAGAAAAACTTTTGTGAATCGCTCTTCTTCAGACCGTGAGCGTGTAAATGGATTCCCTCAGTTCCACCCCTGCTAGAAAGCCCCACGAGGCCTTCAGAGGAGAACAAGGGGATGAATTTGGGAAGTAGGGACAATCAGACCCCAAAACCCACTCTAGTGCCATGATCGGGGAGAAGATGCTCTCCATGACAGCTGTGATCTGTGGTCTGAAACACAACCTTCCTCAAACCGAATACTAGCACAAATGCAGTCGTGTTCTTTTTGTCAGGAAGTTGCTGTAAATGCCTAGGAAGCTTTGGTGTGGTAACCCCAGAGGATTTCAGTAAAGGTAGGAAAAGAGAATTTAGAGTAAGCTTAAATTAAGAGGACAGAACTGCTAGTCCAGTGTATCTAAAAAACAGGTCTTTTTGACTGTGCATTAGCGATCTTGATGATGTAGGTGACATTCTTCAAAGAAAACTCTTTCTTCCTGCTACGTCGAATAAAGCCATCTTCTTCCCGCAGCACCCTTTCTACCAAGAAAGTTTTGTCGGTAAGACCTGAGGCCGCTCAGTTCCCTTCGTGGTCCCGGGATGCGGACGCCCTCGTAGGCAGCGTCTCCCGTGCGTCGGGGAGGCGCTCCCTCCCGGGCTGCCGCAGGCACAGAGCGGGCACCTGAGAACGACTGTCTGTGCCTCACTTGCCTTGCCTAATCCCGCCCTGGAGTAGCTCCTAACCCCCAGGGCTGGCAGGAAAAAGGCCTCTCAATTTCACAGTGAGCAGCTGGAGGGAGAGAAAAATGGGCCTTTAGCATGGCAGTGCTGTGGTGGCGTCAGCACAGTGGAAACAGAGCTTCTTAGTGTCTCCTCAGAGCTGAGCTTACTTGAAAGCACTCGGACCAAAGGTTCTTACGGAGTTTGCAAGTGGCCTCTCAATGTATGTGTAAACATAGAAGGTCTCTAGGTATGCGGTTGGTTGCTGGTGGATGCCAGCAAACAGACTCCTCGTGGGTTTATCTTTAAAGCATGACACCCAGCTTAAGATGTGGTCTGTCGCATTTAACCACGGTTCTCCGTGAATTCCCTCACACCGGGGTGGGCAAACTTCTCCTGCCAAAGGCCAGAGAGTAGATATTTCAGACTTTGCAGGCCGTAGGGTCTGTAGCAACTCTCCCTGTGCTGTCCCCGCACAGAAGCAGCCACGGGCAGTCCATAAACGAATAGGCATAGCTGTGCTCCATTTACAAAAACGAGACCCCACTTGACCTTAGTCTGCCGACCTCTGCCTCAGACCAAAAGGGAACTAACTGCTCCCTGCAGTAAGAGCCCTGTGGGAAGAAGTAGTAATAAGGTTACCTGCTTTTCTAGAAGAGGAATTATTAGTGGGTTCACATTCCAACATGTACAAAAGCAGCTAAAAATATTTTCATTAAAGTGATTGATTGTCTTGATCAGGCCAGATTAGCTGCCTAGAAACGGTCCCCAACACTTGCTATTGCAGAACGGATGCCGTTGCCCAGAGCAGGCAGATCGAGTAGCCATTCCACAGACTGGTGCAGTTACTCACTTGCCATTGGAGAGCCGTGGGGCTTTCACCTGTTTTTCTTCTGCCCTGCAGGCCTCTTCCTTATCCTGGGTTTGATACTCTACCCTGCTGGCTGGGGCTGCCAGAAGGCCATAGGCTACTGCGGACACTACGCATCGGCCTACAAACCCGGAGACTGCTCGTTGGGCTGGGCCTTCTATACCGCCATCGGGGGCACGGTCCTCACTTTCATCTGTGCCGTCTTCTCCGCACAAGCAGAAATTGCCACCTCCAGTGACAAAGTCCAAGAAGAAATCGAAGAGGGGAAAAACCTTATCTGCCTCCTTTAGTTTGGAAGAGACATCAATGCCGTTTTCTTGCTCGTGTAACCTTGTGAAACACTTCACTTCCGGTTCTGTCGTTTGAATCGAGTGAAGAACTAGCCTTTACCTACCAAAGCCACGTTCCACAGCCCTGAGCCTCGCCAGGACCAACGACAGGCAACACCCAGCTGCACAGAGTGACTGCACAGGAGGGCCACGGTGCAAACTGTAAGAGATGGAACGTGAAAACAGTACATAAACCCTGACACGCAGTTAAGTTCTGTCAGACTCCATCTCCCCCCAAGGCTCAAGGAAGGATGATGACCTAAACCCTTAAAGCAGCAGTTTCTCTGGTAACAGAGGAGACCATTGGCCAGATTTGCGGGCTGTTGAGAGACGTTTCTGCACAGGTTGCATGCCTGTGAGCATCTCTGCCTCAGAGTGAGGTTTGGGGGTTGGTGCTTTTGTTTCCTCCTAGTTCTTTCAAACTCTCTCAGGTGGAGACTGCGATGAAGACTGCACACCCACCGGGGAGAGGATGTGTGCTAAAGGGCCGAGCAAGACACTGTCGGTTGCTTAGCTGACCCAAGGGGTCAGCAGGGACAGTGTGGAATTCTGTGGTGGGACTTATTCTAGGCTGAATTCCAGAGTCAGGTGGATCAATTGAGCTGTCACTCCAAGAGTTTAGAAATTTGAGTAAAGGAAGAATAAGAACCTGTCCAATCATGAGAATAAAAGTACAAAATCCTGCTAGTGGAGACAAATTCGTTCCACTCCCCAGCAGCCAGGCTAGCACCAGTACTGGCCCAGTCTCCTCTTCCACTGGAGATCACATGGTGTTCTTCTAGGGCTAGGACTGCGCTTTGACTGCCAAAGGAAACCTCGCTCTGTTTCCTGATTCCAGGGACAGAGGTCTCCGAGCCAGCTGTGGCTCATTCATCTGGTGACTGGGAGAGCTTGCCAGAATCTCAGCACTTGCAGGGAGACCTTTTCCCACTGTGTGGTAACCGTGCTGTATTCAGCTGTATTCCTACCCCCCAGCAGCAGCAGGATGGCATTCTGTGCAGAAAAAGGAGCTAGAGATGGGAGTTAAGTTTTTCTAGTTACTGGTGTTGGTCCTGAAAGCAGACTGAAATAACATTAAATTGCTCTAACTGGTGAGTTACATCAAAGGCTTCATTCTCAGGAAAGCACAGAGTAGATAGAAAGTTAATGCAAAATGAATGAGAGCTAGACCAAGCTCATAGCACCTGCCTATACCTGTTTACAGAATGAATGAAACACCACTATTAAAAAGGATTCAGGGGCTTTTAATCTAGTTTCTATAAATCACCAACATAATTGATTCAGGAAAATGATATTAGCCATCACTTCAGACTTACTTTGGAACCGATCAAAGTGACCAGAAAGAACCTAGTCTGGTATTCTCCTGAGCTTCAGAATTGCAGAATGCGATAGAAACACTTCTTTGCAATTTAAGCAAATGGAGTGGACCTGCCAAATTTCTGGAAGGACTAAAAGGACAGGTCTCTTTAGGCTTATGAATCTGCTTACTTGAGGGCTTGCTTTGTTTTGAAAATTTAACAAATAACTATGAACCTTGTTCGGGCAAGGTACTGTGTGCTAAGCACCGCCAGGTAGAGAGCCCCGATTCAGATTTGACAACCCTGCCCTGAGAAAATCATCTTAAAGCTGTGTGAGTCTAAAACCATGCCTTGCTGCAGAACAAGTAATTGCTGTAGTTGTTCCATTCCAGTTTAATTCCATTCTAGCCTTCGGCCTGTACCAGAAACCGTTTTCTCTCACAGATAATGAGCTAAAGGGCAGGAAGGCGGGGGCATGCAACCAGGTCTTCATGAGCTCACCATTCTTAGACCAAAGTTCAGAGTAAAAGCAAGATGTACATCTGTGACTTCAAGGGGTATCCTTCAAGGGGTATCCTTATGTATCCTCATAGCAGCCTGTCATAAGGGCTCAGGACACAAACAATAACTGTGTCTGACGCCACACAGAAATGATAGGTTATGGCAGCCACTGGACAGGACTCCTGTCCCTTACTGTGCATCTGTATGCTCTAACCAAGTTCTGATGCCATCACAGTCATTGCTTTTTAACCCTTGGCAATAATTTTCATTTAAAAAAAAGCAACTCCCTCCATCAGGCAAATGATTTAAAACCCAATTTTTTTCCTTAAATTTATCATCACAAGATTCACTGTACTTCTTCTTCTATACAAGATAGAGAACCCATGTTACAACTCTAATTTTACACTCTCACTCTCCTCGCAGACAAGTCATAAGCTTAGAGGATTCTCTAAGCACGTCCATCATCTTTACTGCCTGACTGCGCCTTCACTGAGGGGCGGTGGAGGGCGGGATATTCCTAGGTCACTCTGATAACAGAAGTCATGAGCGAAAACGTGACCTCTCTTGGCCAGAAGAAAGTCACCTGACAGTGTTTACTTCATCAGTCTGAATGCTACAGAACACCAAAAAAAAACCAGCACATGCACACACACAAAACCGCAAACCACTAAAAGCCGCTTAAACACTGATTTGTTAAGCAGAGCAGAGATGAAATTTCTCTAGCAGAGAAAGAGGAGAAAGGTAATGTGGGCCTTCTAAACCTTTAGTCCATTTAGCCAGGCTTCAGTTGGGATAAATGGACTATCAAAATCAGGCTAGTCTAGACAAAGACTGCATGGCTGTTTAAAAACCACTGCATAGGAGGAATGTGTTAGAAGGAAATAATAGATTAAAAATAATTAGACAATCGTTGACCCGCAGCTATTTTTCTATTAAATTTCTATCAAGCGCCTCAGTCTAAAAATCTAATATACCTGGACCATTACTGCTACCAGCAAGTCTTATTTATTTTTTGCCTGCGTTTGTGCTTCAAGTTTTGTGATGGGGCTGGGCTTCTCAATGAACTCCAAGAAGGCAGAGATGTGTGCTTTGGAGTCTGTGGATTTTTTAAACCTGTGTGCTGATTCAACAATGTTACATTAATTGTGTAAGGGTTTTTGTATAGTTATCAAACATCTGTGGTGTAATGATCTTTGTTAAACATGTATTCTGTAAAGTGCCATTGTCTTTTTTATGTGTAGCATATTTAAAAAATATATATGTATATTATACATACACAAGTCTGTGTGAAAGATGTGCAATAACAAAGGTGTATGTATGTTTTGTTTTTTGGAAACTGGACAGGAGTCAGAACAGAGATTGTTTCTGTTTTGGCAAAGGAGAGTTAAACATATTGCCTTCATGGCCTAGTCATTAACCCATAACAATTTTAATGCTACACAAACCTATGTGAAGAAAAGACTGGTATGAAATCATTTTTTTCCTGGGTCTAAATTAAAATAATCACTAGATTTATGTGAAAGTTAAGCCAGCAAGACAGGCCCAGTTAATGCTAGTCTTTCATGTGAAATGTGAAGCTGCCACGTTGCCTTTTCTGTTTGTGTGATAACTAGTAGCTGGTACATAATCACTAAGGAGCTATTTCTTAACATGCTTTGATAGACCACGTTAATGCTAGACCACTATTTAAGGGCTAATCTCACACCGTCTTAGCCATAAGGGTCTGCTTAGAACAGACCTCTCTGTGCAATAACATGTGGCCACTGGAAATCCCTGGCCTGCGTTTGTATTTGGGCAGCAGTGACTCCCAAGGGCCAAAAGAAATAAAAGCACGACTGGGATTTCTTCTGAGACTGTGGTGAAACTCCTTCCAAGACTGGGGGGTCATGAGGTGCTTTGGAGGAACTCAGCACCACTTGATATGCAACAGCCACTTGAGCCAAATATAAAATTGTATTACCGCTGACGGACTCCATGTGAGCCTTTGAATTTCTGCTTATCCTATTATATTGTAAACTAATACATTATTTGTCTAGCATTGATTAGGTTCCTGTGCGTATGTATTTTCACAACATGCTCCCCTACCCTCCCCAGATATGAATTAAACCAGATTTTGCAAACTCATTCTGATTCAAGTCTCAGTATATTGGTTTCAATATGATGTGTATCATTTCATCAAGAAGATATCTACCAATCAAATTTGAAAGACTAACTTATATGTAATAGTGATGACAGGAAAGAAGATATTCAGGTATTTTAACTATGCCATTCACTAGTAACATATACACACCTGCCTTAGGTTAGCTTTAACTTCAAGATAAGTATATGTTTCTTTCTTGGAGAAGCACTGATGTAATTATAAATAGGGAGGAATAAAACCCTCTCAAATACTACACAGATATCTTAATTTTAAAGTAAAGAAATATGGAAATGCTTCAAAGTATTTAAAAAGCTTTATAAATGTAAAGAAATGTGTATAACAAGGGAAAAGTCAACAGAAGGACACGTTCACCCCTTCCAACAAAAATACCAAAGTTAAAAGCCAGTCATGGAGCAGTTCACATCCACATTTCCTGAACGTAATCCTGCCCATAAAAAACCTCATCTAGAAGCAGAGTTCTAATTTAGAAACTCAAAGAAGACACTAACAACCCTTTTCATAAACTCTTACTCTGTATCGCGTGAAGCACTTAGTGATAGAATATACAAAAATGGCTATTTTCCTGATCTAGGGCCTGTGACAGCTGAAACTACTTGTAGCTTTGGCTTCTAAACATACCTGACACATGCCTGATTTCTAATAGGAATCAAAATTACCCAAATCAATAAAAGCAAAATTCTTCCATATTACGATCTAAATAATCCAAGCAAAATTGGACATTTTCAGTTGCTTTTTCAGCTCCTGTTACATCTTCCTCAAAAGTTAATCCACAGGAGAAAGGACCCTGGCTTTAAATTGCGGCACAGGCTGGGTAACCTTCACTGGGCTTCCCGTTTCATCATTAGCAGTTTTGCTACCGGATCAACTTTCCATGACTGATCTTCCTGGAACACACTGCATTCAACTTACTCCTAGCTCACCTTAAAGTCTTTGCCTAACATAGTAAGAGTCTTGACTATTCTGGGCATTTCCTTTAAATGGGTTATTTCGGTAGCTTCCAATAATTCAGTACCTTTTTAGACTCTCAAGCACTAAAGGATAAGAGCATCAAAGCAAACTTTCAGCCTACTCTCCAAAGCAGCAAGAACCAATAACTGTCTTGATTTCAGGGCCCCATCTGGTTGCTTAGTCACTTGGCTGGGGCCATCCACTGCTGCCCCTGCTATCTTCTTCCTTACAGCTTCCTCCTCACCCTGGAGAGCTCTGCAAGATAACTCTTTAAGACATGAACAGCTCATTTTGCTTAGATACACAGGATGTAAATAAAAGCATAAATGAATAAGAGGAAGTAGTAAAACCACACGGAAAAGAAAAATCAATCAAATAACTTGTAGCTCTTAGTAGCTCTTATGGCTTTTTATAGCCAAATATCCTGAAAAACCTAATACCTATGCAAGCAGTCCACCAAGTGCCTGTGTTTGGGAGAAACCACTAAAATTTATTCTCAAGAGAAGGAAGCCTGAATTAAGGCAGGAGATAGTGAAGACAATGAGATGAAGTGAGTTAGGGAGAAAGAAGGGGCAGCTTGGGGACTGACTGGAAGCAGTGGGGGGAGGAGGGGAAAGAGTCTAGGGCGACTCCCAGGCATGTGGTTTGGGCACTAAGCAGAAAGTGGTGCCATCACCTACGTCAGGAATCCATCGGGGACAGAGACAGTGAAGGTGTTAAGCTTCAGCTCAGGCTGCCAGCGGCGAAGTCCTGTGTGCAGCTAGAAATATACCATGGAGAGAAGACCAGCTTGGAGATACAGATCTGGGAGTCTTCAATACACATGGACAGAAAATAAGAATTTTTAACCATTATGCACTTTTCATGGGCAGGTACTGGGCTAAGCACTTCTTTTAATTCATTTATTCATCAAAACCCTATGAGTAGAAATGATTATTATCCTCATTTTACAGATACATTAACTATCACCCAAGCAACTTAACTGAGGTGAAGTAATCTGCCCCACATTAAAAAGCTAGTAAGCCAAAGCTCAAATACAGGTTTGACACCAAAGTCTACATTCTCAAACAGCTGTAGTTTCTTTCTACCAAGAATGTACCGGGTGAGAAGGCAATATTAACACAAACCCCCAGGGGACACCAACATCTCTGCATAGTAAACTCTTAGAATAACCTCCAAGTTCAACTCCAAAAAGACCGCACCGTAAGATGACAACTGATGAAAACACTGCTCCCTTTCAGAGAAAAACCTGGTAATTTTTCATACTTTTCAAGATGACAACATACGTACCAATTTGCTCAATCCTGAAAACAGAAACTAAAAATTCATCAAGTATATGACAGTGGTAAAAAAATGACAGTTTTGTTTTCTTATTATAAATAATCTCTTAACAACGAGGTCCTACTGTACAGCACAGGGAACTATATTTAATATCCTGGGATAAACCATAATGGAAAAGAAGATAAAAAAGAATGGAGGGCTTCCCTGGTGGTGCAGTGGTTGAGAGTCCGCCTGCCGATGCAGGGGACATGGGTTCGTGCCCCAGTCCGGGAAGATCCCACATGCCGCGGAGCGGCTGGGCCCGTGAGCCATGGCCACTGAGCCTACGTGTCCGGAGGCTGTGCTCCGCAACGGGAGAGGCCACGACAGTGAGAGGCCCGCGTACCGCAAAAAAAAAAATGTGTATGTGTGTATAACTGAGTCACTGCTGCACAGCAGAAATTAACACATTGTAAATCAACTATACTTAAATAAAAAAATAAATTATAAATTAATAATCTCTCATCCAGGATAAGCAGCTATTATGATTACATAAGAGGCCTATTTTCTTCATAGCCAATCTAATAAATAAGGATTTGTTTTCAACTAAAGTTTCTCCAAACACACACACAAATGCCAAAGACCATTTAGTAAGTTAGCACTGCTGTGAAGAGCAGGCAGCAGGTACTTACCCACACGTGTGGAGCTAGGCCTTGGTCTGGAGATTTCAAAAATAAACGTCGTAATTTTTTTCTTGATTACTGTATATTTTTCTAGCGTCCACTGTCCCTAAAGGATGGATATGAATTACTGGAAATGTGGAAGGATGAAAAAGAAATAGAGAATTGGAGCGAGGTGGCACCACGTGGCAGAAGCAACCCCATGCTTGGCAAGAGTCATGGGACACTGGTCCAGCTGCCTCTCCCTAGCCCAGCACCACCACTCACTAAGTGACTGGGATAATTTCCGATTCCTCTATAAAAATGGGGCCAAGAATAGAAATACCACCATAGGTTTGGTGTGAGGATTAAGTAAGTGATGTATGTGAAGCATTTAGTATAGCCTCTGATATACAGTAAGTCCCCAATAAGTATGTTATTATTAGAAGAAAATTAAAAGAATCTTCTGTCCAGACTGATACCACTTGGAGTTGATCTTAAAAATTAAAGAGTTGTTCTAAAAATTGTGAAAAATAACATAACCTGTTGTTAAAACCAATCTAGTTTTGGGACTTCTCTGGCAGTCCAGTTGTTAAGAAACTGCCTTCAAATGCAGGGGATGTGGGTTCGATCCCTGGTCAGGGAACTAAGATCCCACATGCTGTGGGGCAACTAAGCTCGCACACTGCAACTACTGAGCCTGCATGCCACAACTAGAGAGCTCACATGCCACAACTAGAGAAGCCCATGCGCCACAACAATGACCCAGCACAGCCAAAACAAAAAACAAAAAAAACACAGTCTAGTTTTTTCCTAGAGAGGCTCAATGGATTGGCTACCTGAGGGCACCAATTTTTTCCGTCCTGTACTAATCATCTTTAGCTTAGTGCTTTCAGGAAGTGGAAGATTTCTCTGTGGATACAAGATACATGGTCACTCCTATTTAGCCAAACTAAAAAATAAAAATGTAGTGTCAGGTGATCCCATCATCTCTGGGAAACCAGAGTGCTCAGAAAACCTCCTGATTATTTGTCAAACTTGTTGATGGCAAAGCCTTTTTAGAAAAGGAACATCCAATCCTGGTAGAGTGTAAATAAAGAGGTCCTGCTCCTGCAAATGGAGGCACAAATTGGTACAATTTTCTGGAGAGCCATCTGGCAATGCACATTAAAGATCTTAAAATATACACTTACGCTTTGACCCAACAACTTGTCCAAGGAAAGAACACAAGCTTGGGCCCCAAATTTAGCAACAATATATCCCTTGATTATATTATATTAATTATTAATTATATTAATTATATTATTTATAATAAAAAACTGAAATTCAGAACCTAAAGGAATAACAGGACTTTGAAAAATAATATATGATACATGTATATAAAGGTAGCTGTACAGCTACTAATGTTACAGAAATAATTCATCAATGTGAAAAGTTCCACATATTTATATCATCATTGAAAAAAAGATTACAAACCATTGTGTTAGTTAAAATTCTCTAGTAAAAAGTAATAGGAAACCAACTCAAGATAGCTCAAAGAGAAAAGAGTAAGAATTTTACCTGGAGAATGTAATATCCAAATAATGAAATATGGGTGAACAGTCAGGCCTCATACAGGAAATAGAAAGCTGTTAAGATCTTCTATGTCCTTCATCCTACTTGTTTTTGCATGTCTGCTTCATTCTTCACTTTCATTACAGATCAGCTTTCTAGTAACTCTTCTGAAGACTTGGCAGAATATGGCTATCCACATGTCCCAATTCTGGAACAGTGTAATTCCAGACAAATCTACATTCAGAGTAAAAATTTAATGAGCCACGCGTGACTCCATTATAGCTAGGTGACATCCAGTACCAACGTGGTCTTCAGGGGCCCAAAGAAATGGGGCTTGTGAGAGCTGGATAAGCCATCCCCAGAGGATCTATTACAAGGATGTAGAAGGAAATCTTATTTCTTAATATTAGAAAAAAATTGTCTTCCTAGGAAATTAATAGAAATATATGAACCAAATCTTAACAGTAGTTATTTATGGGTTAAAATTATAAGCAACTTTACCTCCTTTTGCTGTAGATATTTTTTAATAATTTATGTGAAAT